CCCTAACCTAACGTGGGAACCAGGTCTGGGTCTGGGCAGGACACCCTCTCTAATGCAAGGTTAGGGCTAATGTAAAGAGAAAATTTCACCTTTTCCAGCAAACTGCTATCTTTTAAAGGGACAAAAGTACATGTGCATTTCAGGAATTCAATTGTACAGACATGACTCTCTCTCCAGCATAGGTACATTTGAGATATGTGAAGTGGTTCCTGAGCATAACATAATTGTGTTAATTTCTTATCAAAATTTGCCGGAAACCCCATACAATGAGCTTTCAGTTTTATAATAGCCAACCTGGGGTTAAAACGACTCTGAGGTGAATAGATTCAACTGAATGCTGCCAAAAGTTTAATTCTGTTCAGACTGATACAAAAAAAGTGCAAAAAAAATGCAAATTTTGGGAAATTTCATTGAAAATGATTTTAATGTCATTTTCACCTAGATTATTCATGTGTAAGTATGAACAAAACTTTAAATTTGGCAACACACGTTTGTGCCTAGTAAACTCAGGCTCATTTTAAGCCTAAGTTGGCTATTTGAAAACTAAAAGTTCATTTGTGAAGTTTTTGACAGTTTTATAAAAAAATACACAATTTTGGGTATTGCTTGGTATCCCAGTATCCCCTTCACAATTCTTACACATTTCTGTGCTAAAAACTAAGTTATGTCAATACCATTCAATCCCAAAAATCAATTTTTAATTTTGAGGTTTGGTTTAAAAGATTGCCATTTCACTTTACAACAGCTTTAAAAACTTTAGGTCCTAGACACACATCCTAAATGTGCATGTAGACTACTCTTATCTTTTCAAGCGAGACCCCTACTTCCAAGAAAAAAGACTTAGTTAAAGAAAAAAAGAATCAAGCAAGTTCACCTGGATTGTTTCTTGAATCTGGAATTATTGCCATTTGCTGCTAATGCAGAGCCATTAGATTCAAGTTGTAGTTTCATTCAAGTACAGCAACTTTATCAGATAGATAATTCTTCCTCATTTGAATCGATGTTGAAGGAAAAAGTTGTGGAAGGACCTAAAAAATAAACGGAAATATATTAGTGCTGGTAATTCTTTACAAAACTGACACAATAGAAACAAAATAAAAAAAATACCTTGGTTCCGATTCAGAACAAACAACCAAATTAAGACAATGTTGTTTGGTAACTTGTCAGTGTATGTGGAAAGTTGGAACAGCAAAGAAAAGTGACTAAAATGATGCATAGTGGTAATATGGAATACCCCGAAAGGAACTTTAATCCTCCAATGAAAGTTTATGGCTCAATATCATGTAATCCCTGCAACAGAAAATGACAATACAGAAATGCTATCAATGTAGACTAATACAACAGATTCTCAACACAAAAACATTCCACATTGAAGAAGCACTAAAACAATACTCACTGTAAGCATTTAGTAGAATTAATTTGATCCGTCTTGTTTTCGAATCAAATGCTTTGGAATCGAAATGGAACCATAGCGATACTTGAGGCAGATATGAACGGTAAAAGATCTTCAGTTGGACAGGCAGTGCGCCTGCACAAGTAAACTACAACAGAAAACAAAATTATAAAATCTTATGTTAGCAAATACTGAACTTAACAACAATAAGATTTTTAGAATTACTTAATTACTTAAACTTACCATTCCTGTTTTAAAATGAAATCCATAAGACATACATATTCCAGAATTCGATTGAACAAAGTCATCAAGTATGCTAAAGGATTACAAACTTTAAAAACCTGTCTCCAGGGTCGAGGGGTGGAGGCGAGCACTGTATTTATATATGTTTGCGCTCAATGTGTTTTGAATGAAATGCCAATTTTCTGCAAGAGAAAAATAAAAAATTTAATAGAGAGCCACTTGTTTTTAATGTGAGAAAGATAAAACTGTCTCTGCTTTCCTTCTTTATTCGGATGCTACAAAACAATAAAGAATTAAATGAACAATAGCTAGTCATGGGCCAGATAACAGCATTGAAAACCAAATTTTCAGGGTGACACAAGACAACAGTCATTTTGAATGAGTAGAACTTTGTCTGAGAACTTTGTCTAAAAACTTTGTGAAGATTTGAGGTGGTCTAAGGGACGACTAACCTCAAAACTTACCTGATTATCTTCTTCGCATGTTGAAGTACACGCACATCAAGTGATTTCTTCCACATTTTTGGATCCATTTGTCCCGTACACTGATTCTCCATTAATACAGAAGCCTGGCATTTGGTAAAACTTGTATTTTCTTCAGACTTTCCAGCGGCGGTTTGATTGATGCGCCGGCCCACCAACTCACTTCATCACGTATTCACAAATGAGTTTGATTCTCCCTTTCATGAATCTTCGAAATTTCGCCAAAGCAGGACGGTCACAGCACAATATGCACTGATTATCACATGAACTTCAGTTCGAAGTTCGAACGAATCGGAAATGTTTTTGCCTGGAGTTGCACCACAACAAACACTAGAGAAGACTGTGTGAGTGTGTGTATGCGTGTATGTTCGTACCAACCTAACGTGGTCATTCCATGCGATTCCACTGCTGCAAGCTATTGCCAACAGAATGCAAATATCACTATATCACTAAACAACGACACACCAGAAAAAAATTATTTGCCGTCAAAATTTGCACGATTTTGACGAGCTGCACTCCCTTCTCCCACACAAAACACATTCACACTATGCGGCCGTGCGTCCCGATAATTTGATGACTTTAGCCCGATGAGTAGAGTGACCCCGCGCAATTCAAAGTGATAAACGACCCGCGAAATGTGATTAACACGTACCCTCCGGCGTGACCACTACGTGGTCACGCATGGACCTCACTTTGAAAATTTCTGGACGGGCTACAATGTAAGTCACAGAGATGAGGTTTTGGGTTTAGCCTTTTAAAGGATGAAAGTATCTCTAAATTTTCCAGACCCTAGCCGTTCTTGGGGCCGTGACCACACAGTGGTCACGGCACACCGATGGACCAGCCTAATACAAAAATGGCATGTCGACGATGTGGTCAAGTGTGGCCACAGAACCCCAATCCGGCGTCCTTGCGAGTATTCCGACCAAGTGTGGTCAAGTGCGGTCACGCCCCACTCAGGGCAGTTCCTAGTAGCCTACCCCGACATCCCCTCGTCACTCAGGGTCACGCGTGGTCACGCGTCATCAGGGGTTCTCCCTGGGAGTTCTCCGGTAACCAATGGTCACGCCTCACTCAGGGCCGTCCCCTAGGAGTTCTCCGGCTGTCTTGTGGTCACGCGTGGTCACACCTAGCTCAAATCTGTTCCCTCGCGTATTTTCTTTAAATTTACGATAGACTAAGCGGAAGGCCGACAATCGACCCCTCCCAAAGAAGGGGACATACCCTTTGGATACCAGCCATATGAGGAAGGCGCCGGCTTAGCCTAGCCGAGGCCAATCAACCGGAGGTAGGTAGGTAGGTAGGCAACTCACGATACAAAATTCCTGTATGAAGGCAATCCGCCATTAAATCCCGGTCAGCCTGACCTAACTGCTGTAGTGTGTCCGGCTGTGTTGCGGGTGTGGCAGAGAGATCTAAAGGTAGCTGAAAAGAGTTTGTCAGAAGTCGCACCGTAAATGCTTAAGGTACAAGGTGGGGTATTTTAAGGTACGGATGACGTCGTGCGTACCTTAACCGCTGGGATTACCGTACAGCGGGTCAATAAGGTACAGAGTCAGCCATTCTCGTACCTTAATTTTGGGGTACGGGTGGTAAGGAACGCATTAAGGTACGCACTCGTACCTTAATACTGTGTGAGGCGGGCTGCCTACCATGGCCGGCGGCCCCGTTCGGTAAACGTGTACGTTACATTGTGTGAGGCGGGCCTGCCTACCATGGCCGGCGGCCCCGTTCGGTAAACGTGTACGTTACACTGTGTGAGGCGGGCCTGCCTACCATGGCCGGCGGCCCCGTTCGGTAAACGTGTACCTTATCACTCTGGCAGGCCGGCTGCCTACCATGGCCGGCGGCCCCGTTC